ACAAGTGTCACGATTATAGCAAGAGCGCTATAATCCAGTATCACGCGTGATGAAGACAGGCAAGTGCCCGCTTAAAGGTGGGCCAGCGCCCAATTAAAGATAGGCAAGTGCCCAATGGTTAACCAAGTAAGAGCGAAGATATTGCCCAGCGGCAAAGTGCCAGAGAATTGGGGAAAGATCCGAGGGTTAATATGCAAGTGTGCCACAACAGCACGTTCGAGCGACTGCACAGCCGTATCTGCGATACTTCCGAGCCTACCAGGGTTCGAACCTGGAATCTCCGGTTCCGTAGACCGGCGCAATATCCATTATGCCAGGCGCAGCTCCTTGAACTCTCGTTCACAGTGAGGGCACCTCTGGGTGGACATATTGATGATCAGTCGCGGCAGGTGAGAATGCTCAGTGAAAGTCTGGCAGTTGACCAGGGCCTCTCCCTATGTGATAACCAGTGAAGTAATTGCGACACCTGTGTCACTATCTAATTATAGGAAATTACACTAAATAGATTTGCTGTAACGTCCTCCAGGAATGCGCAGAATGTCTCGCCGAGGCCTGGGCACTGCTTCACTAGCTGTGGCTGCACTACATAAACAAGTTCCGCTGCCAGCTCAGCATCAAAAGCAATACCATTTTTCGTGATAAACACTGCCTGCTCTTCAAAAGCCGACCAATTTTCATCGAGAAGGTTCAAAATAAAAGTGGAGTCCATAATTTTAAATTAAGCAGATAAACCGAGGCCTGATGGGCAATGCTGACAACCTTCCCTGATAGACGAATCTTCTTCAATTTCAATCTGCCGTACTCGCGTCCCTCGTAAGGGACGCGACTACGACACAGCTGCTCAAGACCACCGACAAAAATGATAAAAGCTCTGCGGTTGCTCATAAGCTATCATAGAATTTCGTAAGAAGGTCAAGCCCGTGAGTCAACGCGGCATAGCAGAATGTATGACCGGTCCTTACATAGCCAAACACGCAAAAGGCAACGACTTGAATGCCGAACAAACACCAAAACAGCAAGATAAGCCTGAAAGTTTTCCTGATAAAGGCGTTTGGGATGGCGGTGCTGTTGTCGGTAATGCATCGGCAATGGTGTTGCTGCCAGCGGCGACCGATGACATGGGCGCCATTACCCCTGCCTTCCATGGCGGTTGTGATCAGCATAAGCGCAAGCTGTCACCCAATCAGCTCGACAACAATGAATGCGGCGAGGCGCCCAACCCGAGCGCTCGCAGTGCCAAGCGGGCTCAGACACAGCACATTGATTTGCTATGCGGTTGCTTGTTTTGGGCCTTTGCTTGGTCGGATTTACTTTTTGTTCACAAACAGTGCCAGAACTATCTATGCATGTGCATGAAGAGTGCGCACATGAACGAAAACGCGCCAACTCAGTGCGTGCCTCTTGGTCTATGAGGGGAGTTGTAACTTATCGGGGGGGGGGGAGT